AGAAGGGTGAAAGTTAGCAGAACTTAATTCCTCTTCAGTTTTCCAATGGAAATGGGAAAAAAAAAAATAAATTTGAGCACATTTAGTGTTAGGAGACAGACAGAGCAAATATGAAGCACCTACAGTTGAAAGCAGAAGATTTTTTTTTTTTTTTTTTTGCTCCCAGCAATACGATGGCATTAAACTGTGGGAACAGGTTTTTTGTTGTGTGTTTTTTCTTGTTTTTTTTTTTTCTTCCACCTTAAACGCCTAAACGGATTGCTTATTTTTGCATGTTGTCTTTTAAAACGAAATAACTCTTCAGTTGCAATAGTCCAATGTGTAACCGGAGCCAGTTCAACTCTGGGACTTCACCGTACATCCTAGAACTGCAGAATTGCCATCTTTCCCCCAGAAGAACGATGCTTTAACACAATATCCCCCAGCACAGGATTGCTGCTTTACTGCTGGCAAAACACGCAGATAAAAATTCTCTGGAAAAAAAAAACAAAATAAAAAAAGAAAATTCTGCCAACTTCAAGGAGTTTCTCCAGCATCCAGTGGGAAACGAAAACAGGAAAAAAACCCAACCCACAACACAAACAGGGGAGGTGGAAGGGAAAGGGGAGATGAAGGATGGTTAATCATCCTGATTTCCCTGCGATTAGTGTGTCACTACAGTCACCGAACGAGAAACAGAAACCTTGTCAAGTGGAAATGCCTCTCCAGTGGGTTGCTGTTGCCCATGTAGACGACAGCGGGAACTTTAGAACCGGGCTTGTAAATCGAGTCTGTATTCGTTAATCACTTGCATTCACTCTTTAAACAAAACAAAACAAAAAACCAGAACAAAAATGAAAAAAAAAAAAAAAATCTATTCAGTACCGGAGATTAAATAATCACGTGTGTAGTCTCGTTGAAATAAATTTTCAGATTCCTTAAGAAGTCTAATTACTTTCAGTTGCCATTTTTAAATAACTATATATATATTTGTATATATTATCCTGTGATTCTAGTTACGGTTCCTCTGCTGCACTGAAGATTTAGAAGGAGCATAAAAGCCTTTTGTCCCCCACGAACAGCACAAATGCTGCAGAAAGGTTAGAGCAGGCAGTCTCATCTTGCTACCTTCATTGATCCGGGCGATCCATGGCTTCATCGTAAGTGATTATCCTTTTGGGATCTGGAAAGAAAGCAAAAAGCCCAAGTTTTCAAGGAGCTGAAGACAAGAGATCCGTGTGGCCATTAACGTTTCCACCCCCCGCGGGTCACTCTGAGCGCCTGCTGCCCCGGCACCTCATCCCGGGAGCTAACACGGAATATCCCCGTGAGTTAACTCGGAACATCTCCGTGAGTTAACTCGGAACCTGCACAGGTCAACTGCTGGGATACACCAGAACTTGTAACTTAGTCCTGGGTGCAACACCCACCCCTGGAAACAGAAAGCACTTTTGTATATGCAGAGGGAAGACTCGTTAAATCTAATCTGACGCCGTTTTCTATTGTTCTTTTAGTGACTCTGCTTCTCCCCGAACACTCCACCATCGTGGTAAAACTTAACTTGCCTTGTAGTGACCCAAACCACAGAAAAACCCAGACTGGGAACAGCAGGGGCTGAAGAACTACGTCTCTGGACACCAAGACAAACCACTCTCACCCAGCCCAGCAGACAGAGCAGGACAAACCAATTTGGTTTATTCATTCTTTCCAATATCCTTACCTTGCTTCTGCAAATTCCAAACCGATTCCATTTCTGTGAAGGCAAAACGAGAAGACCATCGTTATTATGCAGATTGATGCTGCTGTTGGAGACAACTCCAAACCCGCTTCAATTTTCCGAAGCCCACCCCAGTCAGCCCAGAGCGAATTTGGACAGGAACGACCCAGCGACAAAAGGCAGAGGCACGGCTGTAACGTGGTGTTAAGGGTCAGCCGGCCCAACCGAGCACCAGAAATGTCATCGCTCCCACAAATCACAGCCTAACTCTGGGCTTTACCGCTCCAGCTCCAACGCTGCTTCACACGTTACGAGTAGCCTGGAGAGATGATTTTCACAAGTTGACGCTTGGCAGGTGTGAAATGGGAACCGCTGGACACAGCGAGTTTCTCGGCTCGCAGCTCGCATCTGCTGAAAGCGCCACGCAAAGGTTTCTCCGCTACCGTCCCCGCTGAACTGCCACCAACGCCTCACCCCAGGACAAGGCGCGACGCTCGAGACAGCCGGCTGCCTGCCTGGTCTGCACGGCCTCCCCAAATTTACCTCTGCAACACGTTTGCGGGCTAAAGATAAACCAACCCTCCTCAATCCTTGTTGAAAGAACACACTTTTTTTTTAAACTTAGAAATGAAAAAAGTTAAATGCTCTTTTCATTCACAACAGAAGGCTCTTCCCTTTTAAAATATCCCCAGAATTAAGTCACATCTTGAGATCTACTCAAAATAACTATGTTTAGCCACTACGAAACTGGAATTTTATGAGCTAGAATATTATAAAGACACTAACTGTGCCCAAGTTTAAGAGACAAAATCATAGAAAAGGAGCATTTAGGAGGAACACAATCTCCTTTCTGCCAGAAAGGAGGGTGACAGGACCTTGGTAGGGGCCAGGAAAGGAGAATGGCAGCGGATCATTAGGCAGTAGAGCACAAAACAAGGCAGTAAGTCAACCAACCCACACGGAAAAAAGAAAAAAACCCTATAAAACTCATGGCCTCAGCACGATGTGCGCCAAGTGTCACCTCGATCGACCGCTTGCATGTTGGCGTCCCTTCTCCAACCCCTCATCTGTCCTTTGTCCGCCACAATCTCAAGCTCCCCCAGCAGGAAATCGCATGCAAATAAATACCGCCGGCCCTCTCGGCACAATTAAGTCTTTTGTAAGGAAGGTCCTGACAAAATTTTACGAGGTCTGTTATTATAGCGTCACGATAACGACAGCAATACTTGGCACTTCCATCAGGGGGGAACCCCAAGCGCTTTGGGAACAGCAACCAGCCTCTAAACCCGCGGGGACAGAAGGAATCTGGCAAGGGAATGCCCCCTCGCCCGCCAGACGCAGATTCCCCAGAAGTAAAACCAACAAGCTACTAAAATTACCTCCAGCAGAGCTCCTATTCCTTTCGGGTGGAATTAAATGCATCATTTCCTAATGGCTAAAGAACATTAGCAATTTTAACAGCTTTTCCCCAAAGGCAAGGGACAGAAAACTACTCTCAAGTTGTTAGCTCTTCCACGTCAGAGTCATGTTTGAGCATCAAATAGATGTTTGAGCATCAAATCCATGGCCGAAGCTGCCGCATCTCCACGTGAAAGACCGCGCTTTCTCTCGCA